CTCCATACTGTTTTCCATAGTGGCTGCCCCAGTCTGCATTCCCACCAGCAGTGTACTAGGGTTCCCCTTTCTCCACATCCTCGCCAGCACTTGTAGTTCATTTTTGTTAATGGGAGCCATTCTGGCAGGTGTGAAGTGATACCTCATTGTGGTTTTAATCTGCATCTCTCTGATGATTACTGACTGAGCATTTTTTCATATGTCTCTTGGCCATCTGTATGTCCACCTTGGAGAAGTGTCTATTCAGGTTCTTTCCCCATTTTTGAATTGGATTGTTTGTCTTCCTTTTGTTAAGTTCTATGAGTTCCTTATATATTTTGAATATTAGCCCTTTATCAGATGTATCATTGGCAAACATGTTCTCCCATATGGTGGACTCCCTTTTCATTTTGTTGATGGTTTCTTTTGCTGTGTGGAAGCTTTTTATTTTGATGCAGTCCCATTTGTTTATTTTCTCCTTAGTTTCTCTTGCCCTAGGAGATGTATCAGCAAACATATTGCTATGAGAGATGTCTGAGATTTTGCTGCCTATGAAGTATAATTGATATATAATATTATATTAGTTTCAGGTGTACGACATAATGATTTGACATTTGTATATATTTGAAATGTTCACCACAATAAGTCTATTTACCTTCTATCTCCATGCAAAGTTACATTTTTTTCTTGTAATGAGAACTTTTAAGGTTGACTTTCTTAGCAACTTTCAAGCTTGCGATACAATATTGTTGACTACAGTCCCCATGCTGTACTTTACATCCCCATGGCTTATTTATTTTAAACTGGAAGTTTGTACCCATTTCACCTACTCCCAGACTATCTCTTCTGGCAACCATCTATCTGTTCTCTGTATCTGAGATTGGATTTATTTTGTTTGTTCATTTGTTTTGTGTTTTAGGGTCCACAAATGAGCAAAATCATGTTGGTGTTCCTTCAGTGTCTATCCATGTTGTTGCAAATGTCAACATTTCATTCTGTTTTTTTGTGGTTGCATAATATTCTATTGTGTATATGTATTACATCTTGTTTATCCAATTGTCTATCAGTGGACACTTAGATTTTTCATATCTTGGCTATTGTAAATAATGCTGCAATGAGCATAAAAGTGCATATATCTTCTTGAATTAGTGTTTTTGTTCAGATAAATACTCAGACGTGGAATTGCTGGATCATATTTTGAATTATTTGAGGAACCTCTGTCCTGTTTTTCATAGTGGCTGCACTAATTTGCATTCCCACCAACAGAGCATGAAGGTTCGCTTTTCTCCATATCCTTGCCAACTCTTATTATTTGTTGACATTTTGATGATAGCCATTCTGACAGGTGTGAGTTGGTATCTCATTGTGGTTTGGATTTGCATTTCCCTGATGACTAGTGATGTTGAGAGTCTTTTCATATGTCTGTTGGGGCCATTTGTACGTCCTCTTTGGAAAAAGATCTGTTCAGATCCTCAGCTCATTTATTAAATTGGATTTTTGGGTCTTTTTTGTTATTGTGTTGTATGAGTTCTTTATATATTTTGGATATTAACCCCTATATATGATTTGCAAATCTTCCCTCATTCAGTAGGTTGTGTTTTCAGTTTGTCGATGAATTCCTTTGCTTTGCAGAAGTTTTTTCATTTGATGTAGTCCCATTCGTTTATTTTTGCATTGGTTACCCTTGCCCTTGGAGTCAGGTTTAACAGTGATGCCAAGGAGCTTACCACCTATGTTTTCTTCTAAGAGTTTTTGGTTTTAGGTGTTACATTTGAGT